GGTAGTACTGAGGAATTGGGTCTTGATTTTTGCAGACCTACTTGGACCTTGATCCTCCTATTTATACTTGCTGACAGAGGCACACCACTATGCCCAGCTTTTTTCCATTGAGATGGGGTCTTGCAAACTTTTTTGCCTGGGCTGTCCTGGAACTGCAGTGCTCCTAATCTGTCTTTCAAATAACCAGGGTTACAGACTTGAGCCATTTGGGTCTGGACTTGGTACTTTTTGACTCCATATCAGTCTGTACTACTTTTCTTCTTAACATGGAATTCTGAAACTTTTAGAGCTGGAAAAGAGGTCTATGAGAGCATGTTTTTCCTTTCTTTTTCACCAGTGATTTTTTTTTATTTTAATTTTAATTTTTTGAGGAACATACTTGCCAAGTGAAATCTGACAAGGTTCTTTATTTATAGCTATAAACTGTGGTACTTTGAAGTGAGCTGGAAGAACCCAAACTGTGGAGTCAGACTGCCTGAACTTAGAGTAACCTAACTTCAGTTTCTCATCTTAAAGTTGGGGTAATAGTGCGTACTTCCCAGGGCTTTTATGACTTAAATAAGATACTACCTATAAAATAAAACAGCATAGTACAGTGCTCTATAAATGTTAGTTTGTTTAAGCTAGTTAAAGCAAAATCGAGGGTTACGTTGCAGCAGCCCTGTTTGCCGGGTCCCCACCTTATTCATTCAGTGTGGTGGCTCTTGTGTATGCCTTCCTGGAGCCTCTATCCAGGGTAGTTTGAAAACTTAGGATCTAGTTCATCCTCCGCAATTTGCATGTGAGGAAACTAAGCTCCAGAATGAGGAATAACATTCTAAAGCTTGCTCGGGCCCCACACTACCATTCCTGCTGCGTTAAGCCACACATCCACGCTTAGACCTGTAGCTTCTCTGTAGGCGAGATCTGAGAAATAGAAAGAGCCCTGAATTTGAAGGAAGCTGGGTATTTTAATAATGATAAGGAGTCAGCTGATAAAATAATGTGCCCTTATAATTTACGTAGTGCATAGTGAAAATTGATCAGATAGATGAACTGAGTGGGTTTTTAAATATTTTTTGTTGTTGTTAATTACTGCTATAAATCTAAACGATCTCTTAAGTTTACACAATCTCCCCTGGAAGTTCTAAAAGAACTTGACAGTTTTTTAGGAGAACTATCCAATTTATTTTATAATAGAACTATAATTTTCAGCAAATGTGGGCCTTCTGCCACCAAATCTTAGATTTGTTCTTCAAATGCTGATGGAAATCTCATAATTTTTATGGTAAATGATATGTGAAACATCAAAGATATAGTGTCTGATACACTTTAGCAATAATTGTTACTGGCAATTCTTAGGAAATATTTAAATAATAAATTATGCCTTGGTTCTTTTTTTAAAAAATTCATTAGCATATATTAGTTGTAGGGGATTCATTGTGGCATTTACATACGTGCTTACAATGTGTCTTAATTAGATTCACTCCCTCCATCAGCCTCCCTCATCGCCCCTCCTCCCTATGCCTTTCTTAATTACAAAGCCCTTTACATGACAGTGTGTTCTTCTGATTAAAAAACAGAACACATCATATAGTTAATTCTACACGTAGATATTGGAAAAGTAGCATTGTATTAGATTCTGGGGATGTAAAAATGAACAGGAATGGTTTTTGCTTTCTGAGAGCTTTCATTCTCTCCAAGGAATTTGAATTCTGAATTACTGCAGGTTTTCGAAGAACAGTTTGTATAGGTCGTTATCAAAAGCCTTAAATGTATTCCTACTTCTGGATATGGCATTTCTAGGAATTTGTCATACGAAAAGAATCTTAAGATGTATATAAAGATTTCTAACTTTAACTTGAACTACTTTCTAACTGGAAATTTTTAATTTTTTCCCCCGTTTTTGGGTGTTTTCTTTTTTGTCTTTGTTTTATTGTGGGAATTTTTTATTCGTAAAATAGAAAAATATTATGTAGCCAGGTACTTGATTTAACTACAGCAAAAATCTCATTTTCTGCTGGGCATGGTAATCCCAGCACTTGAGGGCCTAAGGCAGGAGATTGCTGGTTGGAGGCCAGCTGGGCTACATAGTGGGACCCTGTTACCAAAAAAAAAAAAAAAAAGTCTCATTTTCTCCTCTTTACTTGCTCCCTTTGAATTTAAACAACAGGGAGGGAAAAGAAGTGTCATCCACTGATACCACAGTGCAGTGATTGCTTCCTCCAGCACAACCTGCTGTGTTTTCCTCTTCCCCTCTCCCACCTTAAGAGCAGTGTGGCCCTGGAAGGTTCCTGTGTCTGGAAGGCAAGCCCTGGGGTTGTTGGTCCGCACCCCCCAGCCTGCCTCCCCTTTCTGGTCTTTCCTCACCAGGAGGAATTCTTACTGTTAAGGTTTTAGTGCAAAGATTTAGTTTTAAGAGCATTGTCTTCTCTGTATTATTTTTTAAAAATAAAAAATTGGAACTAGCCCAAATGTCTAAAGAAATTGGTTGAAAGTATACTGTACTAATAAAAGTAAACAGTAGAGATCTTTTTTTCGGGGGGAGAAGTACTGGAGTTTGAGCTCAGGGCCTCACTTGCTAGGCAGGCACTCTTACTGCTTGAGCCACTCCTCCAGTTCTAAAAGTAAAGAATATTACAATTTAGCAGCTGATATTTATAATATAGTAAATGAGAAAAAAAAGCATGATTTGTAAAAACTGCATATTAGTTTCCATACCTGGCTTCCCTTCATTCATACTCTCCTTATAAGTTCATTCATTACTGTCCTTGTATGTTTCTAGCTGGGGGTAAATTTCATTTCTTCATTCCAATTCCAGAGCTGAAAAGTTTTGCCACATTAAACCTTACAATCATGCCATTTGATCCTCCGTGCCTCTGTTTCTCACTTTCAGTGCCATTTTCCACAGAGATGGTTCCAGATTTTTCTTCTTTCTGTAGCTGTGGTGGAGCTTTTCATGCGGCAGGAACACCTACTCTCCCTTTCCTTCACTTGACTGTACATCGTGAAAACACATTCTATCCTCCAGTTGTTTATACCTGAACAAGTCTTTGAGCACAGGGACTATTCTTTTTGTTTGTTTGTTTTTTGCGGCACTGGGGCTTGAACTCAGGACCTACACCTTGAACTACTACACCAGCTCCCCACCCCCCCTTTTTGTGATGGGTCACCGGAACTATTTGCCTGGGCTGGCTTCAAACCGCCATCCTCCTGATCTCTGCCTCCTGAGTAGCTAGGCTTACAGGCGTGAGTCACTGGTGCCCAGCAGGGACCATTCTTGTTTATCTTTGTGTTCCTGGTGTTTGAAATTATTCCAGGTGGTGTCTTGATAGTCAGCACTACGTAGGGCTAGATATTGGTTGGCTCCAAATACTGTCTACAAGCTTCTTTTTTTTTAATTCACAAGCATATTTGAGCAACTGAAACTCTGGCAGAATTACTGTTTAGTGTTACACTTAAAAAGAGACTTCCACTGTTAGTTATTTTGGCATTGAATACTTTTTGCTCAAAGTAATAGGAATCGACTTTAGTAAATGATTTCAATCCCATCATTTCTGAATATATTTACACTTAAAAAGAGATTTCCATTGTTAGTTATTTTGGCATTGAATACTTTTTGCTCAAAGTAATAGGAATCGACTTTAGTAAATGATTTCAATCCCATCATTTCTGGATATACTGTACTCCTCAGTAAGTCCAGTTTGTCACTGAACATATTGGTAGAATTTGACCAGTTTATAGTTTGGTACTTAATAAATTATGTCTAAGAATTTTAAATTTAGGTATGTATAAAAGTTACTCATTGGACATAGTGGAAAAATTGTTTTGAAATAAAGTTTTTTCTTCAAACAGCATAGAACTAATTTGCATTTCATTTTTTATTATGTAAGAATATTAATATAATGAATGACACAAATAGCCTGATTTGCTTTTGCACAAGTATTTTATAATAGAACTGAGTATAATAGTACTGAGATTTGAACTCAGGCCTCACACTTGGTAGGCAGGCGCTCTACTACTTGAGCCAGGCGTTCAGCTCTTTTATGTATTGTGTATTTTCAAGATAGGCTCTGTAAAGGCTAGCTTTAAACTGCGATTCTCCTATTCTCTGCTTCCCAAGTAGCTAGGATTACAGGCGTGAGTCACCAGCGCCTGGCTAGGACAGTTTTCTTTAAAGCACATAAACTTAACAATTAGTGTAAAAAAGCCCTGTGATAATAGTCTTTTCATTTTCCTTAAATTTTTCTTTCTCTTTGTAGGCCTCATTACTCCGGTTTCAGAGTACTCTGGTCATAGCTGAGCATGCAAATGATTCCCTAACGCCCATCACTCTAAATACCATCACTGCAGCGAAACGTCTTGGAGGTGAAGTGTCCTGCTTAGTAGCTGGAACCAAATGTGACAAGGTGAGAAATTTTTAAGGTCAACCATAGCAAATATAATCTTCATCAAGAGACAGGGAAAGATGGCAACAGAGAATTATGCTGAGTGCTGTAACCCAAACTGGGTTGTAATCCTCATTAGATGGCCAGCATCACAACCATTACTATGTGTGAGAAAGGAACTAAAAGAGTTGCTCACTAAGCATTTTGTCTTTTGAGATGAGGTAGAATACTTGATTTAGTTCTCCTGGCACTATGACGTGCCATCAGGTACCAAGGAGAGTGATAATGCTTGAGTCCCCTTCGAGGTTAATAGCTGATCTCTTTTTGTATTGATGAATATACTTGCTAATTGCTTCTAATTCCTGCAAGTGGTAAATATGCACAAAGTATCATGGATGTTGCTTTTTAATTGGTAGAAGAATTAAAATGTAAGTACTATTCTTTCCAAATTGTTTTTGTCATTGTTGTTAAGGAAGATAGTGACAGCTTTGGAAACTAACCCCTGTGACAGGTGCTATAGCGTGGTTTGCAGGGTCTGTGCACTAGGCTCCCTGTATATGAGTACTTCAGTTATACCTGCACAGGTCAAGCCACCAGTTCCCCCTCATACCCTGTGGCAGTTGCTAACTGTAAGCTGGGCTTGAGCCTCACAGAGGAATAAACCTAGAGAGAGTTATGTTTCTTTTTAGAGGATTTTCCTTCTTACTAAATTATTATTGCAGGTTGAGAATGCTAGTGTAACTTCTCTCTAATTCCTTACACAAAATTGGCATTAAAAAATATTCTAGCAGGTTTAAGGTTAATTATGTGGATTTCTTTACCTAAATTATACAGTTGATATTAACCACGATATCTGATGATGTGGTTAAACTATCTTTTTTGTTTTCTCAGTTTTCAGATATATGTAAATTTTGGATTTTTTTGTTTGCTGTGATTTTATTTATTTTATTTATTTAGTCATACTGGTACTTGAACTCAGGGCCTTCACCTTGAGCCACTCCACCAGCCCTATTTTTGTGAAGGGTTTTTCGAGATAGGGTCTCGTGAACTCTTTGCCCAGGCTGGCTTGGGACCTCAGTCCTCCTGATCTCTGCCTCCTGAGTAGCTAGGGTTATAGGCGTGAGCCACAAGCACCCGGCCTTGCTGGGATTTTAAGTAATTCTCATATTACTTTAAAATACTTGAAATGATGTCTATTCATTTACAGTCGTTTTCCTTCATGTTTTTATCTTCAAGAAAAGCAGTATCTGCTAAAGCTCTAGGTAGAGTTCAGCTTTATGGTCTTTTCTTTAGCTATTCATCATAAACGGAAAGGGATTCTTCTGGGTAGTGCTCCAAGCTTTTGTCAGTAAAAGAAAGTTTCAGTGGGGGAAACTTCTGTCCTGTTCCATATCTTAGGTCGATATACAACTACTTTGGAATTAACTGGGCTGACCAAGTTTCTTAATTGGAATTTCTTTTTAAAGTTAGAAAAGCTAAAGACAGATTCATCCATAATAAAGGGCTTCTGTGCGCAAAGTGTGCTCGTGAACACTTGGCTCATCAGAGTATTTGCCTAAATTCAGTACCCAATACCGATAAAAAAAATATGCTTGATTGACATCTTTCTGATAGATGGCTAATTGGAAACTTGTCTTTCAATCACAGGTGGCAGAAGATCTCTGTAAAGTAGCGGGTGTAGCAAAAGTTCTGGTTGCTCAGCATGATGTGTACAAAGGCCTCCTTCCAGGTGAGGCTTTCCAGTGGAAAAAAATGTAGTGTCTAAGTTCCCATGAATATGTAAATATGAAAATATTATGAAATGTGCCTTATCAGATGTGTTTAATTCTCAGAGGAACTGACACCATTGGTTTTGGAAACTCAGAAGCAGTTCAATTACACACACATCTGCGTTGGAGCATCTGCCTTTGGAAAGGTGAGAAGATTGAGAATGTGGAATCTGACCTCACTACTCAAAAGGGCTAGAGTTCATCGGGCTGAAAATGAACAGCAGGCTTTTGTTTCGATGGCCAATCCTGATTTATCTGTTAATGGGGTATTTTTGCTAAAATTTATGTTAAAATTCCATTTCCAGATTTTCAGATTTTGTCACATGATAAGTCTTTGTTCTTTCAAGATTTTTGTCATAATTTATTAAAATGCCACTTTCAGTTTTTCAAACTTTGCCTTGGAAAAAACTACTTACTGTTAAATCAGATTCTAGGTTTGCAGTTTACTTGGAGGCAGATAGATATATAGAAAGGCCAGTTCTGTCTGTGTGGGAGATTTAGGAAGGGCTGTGTGGTGGTCAGAGTGTCCTTAGAATGAAGACAGCTGCAGTCTGATCCCATGCATTGTGACATGTCTGAAGAAACAATGTGCTGTCAGATGGGTAATGGTCTGCATAAAGTTAACACAGATGGAGGAAAGGAGGGACTGGGAGTGTAGCTCAATGCTAGAGTGTTTGTTTGCCTAGCATGCGTGAGGCCAGGGGTTCAATCTCCAGTACTGCCAAACAAACAAACGAACAAACAAACAAAACAAACAATCAAAGGCAGAGAGTCCAGAGTGGGCCCAAGAAAATGAATTTGTCAGTGGATCTTTTTTATTCTCTCTGGCATTGCTCTCTCTTTTATTCCATTCTTATTAAGCTGTAGTTTTTGGTCTTTATTTTTACTTTAAAGAAACAGTAAGTGTGCACAAAATTCATTCTTATTAGAAAGGATGCGTATAGTACAGCAGTATGAAGAGCAGGGTGTGAAAGTCCCACCTGATTCCCAACTCACCCTTCCTTATTCAGGAGAACAGCTTTTAGCGATCGTACTTTCTTTTTTAGACCTGTTTCTATGGATTTTAAAATTATACATGTACAAATACATTTTTCTTCAAAAATGGTATAGTAGAGCACATTGTTTTGTGATTAGCAGTGCATTAAGAGTATGTCTTCAAAATATTAGTTCATAATGTATCTGTCTCTTTTGTATTACTGTATCACAATCCATAGTAGCCAAGGACAGTTAAGTTGTTTCTAATTGTTTGCATTTATAACAAGGAAGGACAGGAATGTGAAACAGGTCATGTTAAGGGAAGGGCACCAGTGGAGGGGAGGGTAAATGAGGAGAGTGAAGGAGGGTGAATACATGTGAATATGGAACACTGAAAACTTGTCAAAGTCACCTTAAGAAGGGGAATAGGGTAGGAGGAAGAATAATAGAGGGGATGAACCAAACTGGGGTATAATACATATATATGAAAATGTCACAATGAAACCCTCTAATATAGCTATCATATACTAATAAAAATGTTTTTTAAAAAATTAAGGACAGGAAGGCAAAACAGTTCCTGACTGGGGGTGAGTATCAGAGGGAGGAAGGAAGGCATAAGGAAAGGATGAGGGAGGGAGAATATGGTGGATGTATTTTGTATTCATGTATGAAAATACAAGATTGAAACCTGTTGGAATTGTTCTAAGATGGAGAAAGGGAGCCGAGGGAGAAGGATGGAAGGGGTGAATCAACTTAAGATATATTGTAAACACGTATGTGAACGTTAGAGTGTATCCCCCCATGCAACTATTGTATGCTAATACAAATTTTTGAAAGGGAAAAATTATAGCAGTAGATGTTTGTAAAACCTTTTGTTTACCATGTTAGGATTGTATTTAATGGCATTTTCCCCAAATCTTTTCTTTTCTATGAGATCTTAAATTCTTCTAATTTGTTGTGGTTTTCTTTTTCTGTAGTAGTAGGTATTGAACCCAGGGCTTCATGATTTCAAGACAAGCATTCTACCACCACTGTGGATAGCAAAACTAAACTACCAGCCAGTAGCTCTTTCTCATGGCTGATAGAGGATTACTGTTAAAGTAGGTAATGATAAACTAAACATTAGAAAACCTTTCCTTTTGGAACTGTAGTAGGAAGGAAATTGAATTAGGCTGTCAATACCTGTTAACATCAGTTTATAGGGAACCACTTAGTAGATACGGGACAGGAACGCGAGAAATAAAAGAAACAAACCCCTCAACCCTCAGGAGTATTAGTGTGAGCTAATCTGTGTAATTATACATGCATGTGGGAGGATGCAGAACAAAGGAGTAATTACAGAATAATTCTGGGAGAATTTTCAGAGAACAGAGAGGGTTGAGGTGGAACAGGAGAGGAGCCTTAGTAATGTTCTATTGGAGCAAACTTGCTAGACGAGATATCATGTACCAAGTTCAGGAGGTGCCATGGAGTGAACTTTTCGTAGAAATCGGTGTAGAACTCAGCTTTTCTATTAGTGAAGAAAAAAGCAGCACTTCACTTTTTAAATTAGAGTACATTATCTAAAGGAACTTTAGTCCAGAAGGAATGGAAATTCAGTCTTCGGTTATGGAGCCCTAGAGTCATAGAGCTTTAACCACGGTGTGGAGGTTCTTTCCCCCTCTTTATGTGATGTAGAAGAGACTTGGGGAAAGTGTGGCTTTCCCAAGGATCCTGGCTAGTGAGAACAGAGTTGCAGAGTTGTGTCTGTTCCAGAGATGTTGTGTGCATATGCAGGTTAAACTTGTATTTTTGTTGCTCTTTTTATACATAATACATAGGTTAGTTTTTTTTTGTTGTTTTTTTTTTATGGTACTGGGGTTTTGAATTGAGGGCCTCATGCTTGCTAGGTGAGCACTCTTCCACTTGAGCCATGTCCACAGTCCTTTTGCTTTTAGTTTTTTTTTTTTTCAGATAGGGTCTTATGCTTTTCACTGGAAAATTGATAGCAATTTTCCTACCTCCACCTCCTAAGTAGCTGGTATTACAGGCATGTACCACAATGCTGGGCATAGTTTTGATCTTTTTAATGCAATGTCAACATTAACAGAAGGTGAAAGGTCTGCTGAAATTTTTTTTCATATCCATTTATATATGTATCTATATATCTGTCTATATATGTCTGTATATATGTGTATGTATGTATGTATTTCAGAATTTTACTACTCTAATAAATTTTTTCTTTTTTTTGCATTTTGGCACTAGAGTTTGAATTCATGGCCTCATTCTTGCTAGACAGGCACTCTTATCACTTGAACCACTCTGCCAGCCCTGTTTTGTGAAGGGTTTTTCGAGATAGGGTCTCAAACTAGTTGCCTAGGGCTGGCTTTGTACCTCGATCCTCTTGATCTCTGCCTCCTGAGTAGCTAGGATTATAGGCATGAGCCACTGGCACCTGGCCTTTTCTTATCTAAATTCAGTGATCCATAATTGTCACACTTTGTAACTGATATTTATTAAAGCAACATATGGAATTAAGATGCCGCCTTATTACTGTAAAGTTCATAAAACTCTAATGTAGTTAAAGTAATGGTAGGCATTCACTTTCAGAGACTGCCCAGAAAGTTGTATGTCCAAGGATGCATGTGAAATATAAAATATTTGAATTAAAATTTCTACAGAATATGCATTTAGAAGATGCCAATGCTGATAGTTTATGGCCATCCATCAATATGCCCATGTGTAAACTCAGTGCTCATTTTGCCTTCAGAACCTTTTGCCCAGAATAGCAGCCAAACTTGATGTTGCCCCAATTTCTGACATCATTGCGATCAAGTCATCTGACACATTTGTGAGAACTATTTATGCAGGTGAGTTCCCAAGGAAGATAATTAATCAACATGTTACATTTTAGTAAGGAGTACAAATAAATCTTGAAGATTGGGTTTTAAAACATGCCATAGAATTGCTTTCAATAGATCATCTTAAAGGTTTCTAAGAAAAACCTTGATGTAGCTACTGGACCATGATATGACTTTCTCTCTGATACATCCTGAGCTTTCCTTCCTGGGCTTTCAGTTTGTGGAGTGAAATTTTTCCAGTGGTCAATAAGAATTAGATTCACTATTCAGTATTTTTTTTTGTAAGTGGCACCTGGAAAAGCAAGAAGTTTTGTTTTTTTTTTTTTTAAATAGTATTTTCAATGTTCTTTGCTTCTCCTCCACTTCTATGTGCATTAAAAAAATTCATTTCAGTGTCTCTTTAGCTGATTGATCTTTTCTAAGCACACTGGTCCCTGGTGGGGTCGGAGAAGGCAGTGAACTCTTTGTTCTTTCTGATTAAAGTTGTATGTTTCAGTGTAAGTGGTCGATTTTCAAATCAGAACTTTCATCTTCAGAACGTTTGAGAGGAAATATTTGGTCATAGTTTAGGACACTCCTAATGGGATTGTTAATCTATAAACAATGTCTCAAATCCTTTTAAAATCTTGGCACATCTAAACTTGTTCTTTATGTCGTGCTGAGTTTTCATGTATATCCTCCTTTATTATGTGGAGTAGCTGTAGTCTTACTAAGGTGTTGCAGTTCATAGTTCTAAGTTACCAGTTGCATTGTTTTTGGAGAAAAAGCTTTAAGGGGAGTGGCTATCTCTTCCAGCTTCTCATTTCCAGGCATGTCAGCACCTGTTGTTTTTTCTTTCTTTTTGAACTCAAGGCCTACACCTTGAGCCACTCCACCAACCCTTTTTGTATTAGGTATTTTTAAAATAGGGTTTCAAGGTCTATTTGCCCAGGCTGGCTTTGAACTGTGATCCTGCTGATCTCTGTCTCCTGAGTAACAAGGATTACAGACGTGAGCCGCTGGCACCCAGCACCTGTCTTGTTTTTAAAGATATTCAGAGTTGTACAATATCCACTGATACATCTTCACTGTATGGTCCTCTTTTTCCTGTACTTAGTACAGGTAGAAAACAACTGGTCTATAGTTATTCTTGCCTGGTCTTTGTTAAGTAATTCTGAGCCGGGGGAAAAATACTTGTGTCATTGCCTTTCATTGTTGCTTTTAAAAAATAAATTGTGTTTCAGGAAATGCTTTATGTACAGTGAAATGTGATGAGAAAGTGAAGGTGTTTTCTGTCCGAGGAACATCTTTTGAAGCTGCAGCAACAAGTGGAGGTAGTGCCAGTTCAGAAAAGGGTGAGTGTTCACTTGGAGCTTTTTGATTGGTTGTTGTTGCTTCTTACTTTTTAGTTCATGGATATATTAAATAAGAGATGATTTTTGGTTGAACTTGTAGTGCAGAGTGTTTGAAAGTTCAATCTGGATGATATTCTCAAGGTTATTACAAAATTAAGAGATAACCTTTGGTACTAGGATAGTTGCTTCGGATAGGATAGTCTACTCAAGAGAGCAGAAGAGCAGATCAGATTATGATTCATCTGTTAGGTTGATGTTAGGACTTTTTACCCTCATCACTATTTTCCACTATAATAAATATTTGAGTCATTCAATATAATGGAAAAATGTAACCATGATAAATATACAGAGGGGTTGTATTTTTGCATATGTAGCATCTTATTTGAATCCTGAAGAGAGAGGGTTGTCCTGGCTTTTTAGATTCCAAGAGAATTAAATTACTTTTCAAAAGTCATATAGCTAATGAGGCAAAGGGTAGAATCTTGTCTCCCTAGTCTTTCCATACTCAAAGAAAATGAAATTAGAGCACAGAAATGTCACATAGCTAATAAACTTACATTTCTTGAAATTATGTATTTGTGTTTCTCTTAAAAATAATTACCATTATGGAACTTGAAATTGTAGTCATTGCTTTATTACATGTATCAATGTACACAGCATCAAGTACTTCACCAGTGGGAATATCAGAGTGGCTGGACCAGAAATTAACAAAAAGTGATCGACCAGAGCTAACTGGTGCCAAAGTGGTGGTATCTGGTGGTAAGCAGAATGTTATTAAAAGATGATATAAACTGTGTAGTACTTTGATTTCTTTAAAGGACCATAGATTTTCGTGTTTGTTTATTTGTTTTTTGTTTTGGTGGGGCTGAGGATTAAACCCAGGACCTTGTACATAGTAGAAAAGCACTCTGTCAGAGCATGTCCAGCCTGGAGCACAGACTTGTTATTCTTTCCAAATAGAAGAAGTCGGGAAATTACAAGTACTGTTCTCATTTATGAGTACAATACACAATTTGGGCTTTCTGGTGCACACCTGTGTGACGGGCACCAGGGGGAGCATGTGCCGACCTCACCACCATTGCCTTGCCAGTGTCTATGTGCAGTGTGATTGGCTCTTACCATAGGGAAAACTGGTTGGCGTCTCATGCCATCTAGTGTATAATACTCCCCAAACCCTTCTTTATTTCAAAGACTTCAAGGATTGTCTAGATCTCTGTGGACAACTGAATGTTTCTTCACAATTAATACCAAAGCTGTTAATATGGTATAAGACTTGCTTTTTTTCGTGTATTGTACTCCTTATTTTGAAAGAAAACCTTTTTATAGTTTGCTAGTGACTTTTTGAAAAAATAAAGACTGCTATGATTTAAAAATATTTCCAGACTAAACATGAAACAAAGTAGTTAAATCTTCCAGACAGCCTTCTATTGCAAGTGGTGTGGAGAAGAAGTAATTTAATATTTTGAAATGTATTTGACTCATTTGTTCACTTATTTTTACAGGAATGCATATTGAATGTCTATTCTATGATAGGCCTGTTGCAAAGTCCTGGAGAAACAAGAGAAAAGGCAGAATGCTCTTGCTTTCAAGGAGTTGAAAGTCTAGTAGGATGACTTCCGTTCAGAGAATAGTTGTCAAGCACTATATATCAGACTTTGCTAAACACTGCTGATAGAGCAGTGACCCGATAGCTATGGATCTGCAATTAAAGAGTTTTCATTCTAGTGGGAAAAACTGATATTAACGACTACACTATTGCTTAACTAGTTAATTAATTACAGTAGCATTGATTTCTTTGAAGACTATTGAATGTCATAGGAGAAGTCTGAAAAAGTTTTATACAGGAGGTAGTATATGTAATATGGCAGTTGTGTAATAGGAAAATCCACTCAGGTGTACAAAATGGCAAAATTTTTATAGAATGGAGTTGATATTTACTTTTTTCCCTTTTTTTAAAAATAAGGTCGGGGTTTGAAGAGTGGAGATAATTTTAAGTTGTTATACGACCTGGCAGATGAACTGCACGCTGCAGGTAAAGTTATTTTCATCAGTAGGGAGGAAATAGTTTTCATTATTTCATTTATGCATAAGTCATTCCCAGCTGCAAGTTACTTTGCTTTCTGTACTTCTCAGTTTTTCTTTTATTTATTGTTTAACTTTTTATTAATGTGTATGAATTGTACAAAATAATGTGTTTCCTTATGACATTGTCATACATGTGTATAACATGCTTAGATCACATGCACCCCCACCATTACCATGTCTTAATACTCCTTCTACCCTTCCTTTCTTCTTCCTTATCTGCAATACTCCCCCTCCTATTTTCGTATCTTTATTATTTTTTAAATCTGGATTTTTACATATGAGAGAAAACGTAATATTTTTCTTTCTGAGTCTGGCTTACAAATTTTAATATATATGTGACATGGTTACATTTATTTATTTTTCATTTTTGAAATACTGAAATGTCAGACTAATTGCCTACTTCAGAGTCAGGAATAACTGTTTTCCCTTTTTTTGTGGTCTGGTATAAATCTCTCATACAAGAAATACATTTAAAGTTATAATTATTTATGGGAAAGATAGAACCTATTATTAAAAGTGCATCAATAAGAATGGAATGTTTTTTTGAAAAATAAAAAAAAACTAAAATATTTGATTAGCTTTTAATTACACCATTACTACACTGAGATATCTGTTTTTACCAAAAACGAGAAAACCCCAAAACCAAAAACAATCCTGTCCCCTTTCATTTAAAAAATTTTGTATATAAGCCAGGTGCTGACTCACATCTGTAATCCTAGGTACTTTGGAAGCTGAGATCAAGGCCTCACTGCTTGAGGCCAGCTAGGCAAAAACACTAATGAAACCCCATCTCAACCCACATCTGTGTACCACACCATGTACCTATCATCCCAAGCTCTGTGGAGGCTGAGATTGGTAGGATCATAGTTTTAGACAGCCTGGGCAAAAAAAGTTTTTGAGACCCTATCTCAATGGAAAAAAACCTGAGTATAGTGGCTCATGCCTGTCATCCCAATGGTTGCAAGAAGCTTAAAATAGGTGGATCTAGGTCAAGGCTGGCCTGGAAAAAACAGTGAGATCCTGTTTTCAAAATAATCAGAGCAAAAAGACTGGAGACGTGGCTCAAGTGGTAACGTGCCTGACTAGACAGCAGGAAATGAGTTTAAACCCTATTATTGTCAAAAACCCCTAAGAATTTTGTGTTTAACTTTTCTAGGGCTTTCTTGTGCTTTCCATTAGATGACATATACACCCATAGAAGTAATAGTTGTTTTTTCTGAGTAGAGGCTTAGTGTTCACTCTATAATCAGTTTGGTGCTTGAGGAAATTTATTTCATTCATTCATGTTTTTTGTTTTGTTTTGTTTGGTGGCAGTACTGGGGTTTGAACTCTGGGCATCATGTTTGCTAGGCAGGCACTCTAACACTTGAGCCATTCTGCCAGCCCACATTCATTCTTTAATTGAACAATATTTATCAAGTGTTTTCCATATGGCAGGCATTAGTAGGTACTAAGAAAATAACAGTGAACAAATAAATAAAAAATGTCTCCCCATTTGTTTGCATAAAACAGACCTTGGGTCAGTTTTTTTTCTGGCTGTTATAATGAATTACCACAACATAGTGACTAAGACAGTAGTTATTCTTTCATAGTTCTGAAGGCTAGATGCTTGTTGAAATTGAGATGTTGGCAGGGCCTTGCTGCCTCACAGGCTCTGTTACTTTTTCTGGGGGAGATAATCTGCTTTTTTCCAGCTCCTGGTGGCTGCCATTCTGTTTCTTTTCTTGTGGCCCCATCACTCCAGTCTCTGCCTCTGTAGTCACATCACCTTCTCTGTGCATCTGCATCAAATTTCCCTCCTCATCCCTTGTATAAGTATGCATGTAATGATATTTTGGACCCGCGTAGATAATGCAGGGTCAGCTCCCTAGCCCAAAGTCCTTAATTTACCATCATATCTGTTGATACATAGTATTAACAGGTTCTGGGGATTAGAAAGTGATTGTCTTTGGAGTGGCCATCTTTCTGTCTGCCACAGGTACTAAACACAACAAATTAATAAATAGTATAGAATGTTAGAGGGTGACAAATGTCCTGGACACTAATAGAACAAAGAAAGGAGGAGAAGGATGTGTACTGGAGAGGGAGGATTGCAGTGTAACATAACATGGTCAGAGTAATTCTCCGAGAAGGAGACATCTGAACAGAGGCCTGAAGTAAGTGAGGAAACAAGCCATGAGGAGATCTGAGAGAGAATGGTTAGACAAAGGGACGATTACTGTGCAGAGAGCCTGCCTGAGGTAGAAAACATGTCTGGCCTGTTTGGTGAATAGCAGGAGACCAGGTTGAGATGGAAAGTGCAAAAGCAGAAAGTAGTAGGAGATAAGATTGGGAGGTGACAGTAGGACCAGATCACACGAGGCTTCACAGTCCATTATAAGCGAGTTGTTTTTCTCTGAGTGAAATGGGGAACTACAGGAAGGTTTGTGCAGAGGAGTGACACGATCTGATAGACTTTAAAAGCATCACATTGGCTACAGTTTTGAGAGTAAGGTTGTTGGCAGGTAAGTGTAGTATCAGGGAGATGTACCTAGAAAGTGAGAGATGCTAGAAGTTTGGACCAGAATAGTAGCAGTGAATGTGAGGAGAGACATGAGGCTAGCTTGGGGATACATATTTGGAGGTAGAACCTTCAGGATTTCCTGACAGGCAAGATTTGGATTATGAGAGAACAGGTTTGTCCTGGAAACTGGTAAGATGCAGTTACAGTTAGCTGAGCTGGGCAAGACCATGAGTGGAGCAGTTTCCAGGGAGAGCTCAGGAGTTCAGTTTTGGGCATATTGAGTTTGAGATGTCAACAAGACATGCATGCAGAGATGTAGTTAATGACTTGTTGTACGAACATGGAGCTCATTGGAGAAGCCCAGCTGGCCTCAGCTTGTCTAGTATAGGGATTACAGGAGTGCACCACCACATCCAGTTTTATTATTTTTATTTTATTTTACTTTTTTGGTGGTACTAGGGTCTCATGCTTTGCAGGCATGTGCTCCACCACTTGAGTTACTCTGCCAGCTACACCCAGTTTTAGATGGTATTTAAAGCCACGAGACTGCATGAAATCATCAACGGAGTGAGTTCAGATAAAAAAGAGATTCCAGGACTAAGCCACAGGCCCTACAAGATTAAAAGTTAAGAGACAAGAAGAGAAAGAGGACCAAAAGTGGAATGGTAAGAAAGATAGGAAAATCAGAATAGTGACTATGTAACTATGTTTTGAAACCCAAGTGAAGTGTTTCACTGGAGAAAGAGTGATCAGCTATATCAAATGCTGCTTAGGAATGAAAATGGACTATTGGTGACTCTGAGCAGTTTCAGTGGAATATTGGAGGCAAAGCCTGATTAGAATGGGTGTAAAAGGATGATCTCAGGTAGTGGCTACCTGGCTGCGTTCACTTTATGACAAGCCATTGAGTAACAGAAATAGACTGAGAGGACTGGAATTAGAGACAATGGATGTAGACAGCTCTTCCGAGGAAGTTTGCTCTATAGAGGAGCAGAGATAAGAACTGTAACTAGAAGGAAGTGTGGCGAACAGCAAGACTTTAAAAGATGTGACAGATGTTAGCATGCTTGTATGCAGATGGGAATGCTCAAGTAGCCAGGGCGGAGAATTGTGAGCAGTATCCTTGAGTGGATGAGAGAGAATGTAGACACAGCTCTCTGTGTGGTGGGTAGATGTGTTAGTTGAAGCATGTGAAAATTCTCTTTTGATTGTTTCAATTTTCAGTGAATAGGAAATGAAGTCCTTAGCAGAGTGAGGATGTTAGAGAGGCACAGGAAGTTGGAAGTGAGAAGAAAAGGTATGAAATTATTTATTTTTATATAAATTTAGGGAAGAGTGGGATAATGAACAAACTAGGGAAATTTAACTTGAATGCCAGGAAGCATCAAGGCCTGTTTATTTAAAATGATACTTGGTTAACACAACTAGGTATTTTGTTTGTCTTCAGTCATGCTGAACTATAGGAGGAGAGGTAAGTAAAAAGCTGAGATTGCTTAATTATACATGGAGGTTTTCCCAAGTGTGATGATGTAAGAAGGGGGCAAGAATTTGAAAGCATATGTAAAAGAGAGAGTAGAATGATCAGTCTTTGACTTTCAGGTGGGCACAGAAAGAAGAGAAGACTCAGGGGAGAGAGACAGTGAATAGACTTGAAGATTACAGTGGGGTTAAGGGGTGGTTGCAGTTGGGCACTGTCAGGAGTTAGCTGAGAATAGGAGGCTGGATGTTGGAAATCAGAGAAGTAATGGTAAAATAAAAATCTATTTTTTCTTATTCTTAATTGATCTAACAAGTAACAGTTCGAAACAGTAGTAACAACATGTAGGCAATTACTTATGGTTCTGTGTGTGTGTACTGTATGCTTATATAGTTTATGTATAAGTGAAGTGAATGACAGAAATGACAATAAGGAACAAAATGGAAGAATTAGAATTCTTGGATTATTACCTGGTACATGCACCACCTGAAGTGATCTAGTGTTGTTTGAAAGTGGACTTAGGAAGAAAACATTAATAAGTATGGTAGATATTTATCCAGATTTGTCAGCACTCGTTTTGAAAGTCAGTGGTCTAGATGCACCAATTAAAAAAGATAGAGATCGTCAGAGTGGATAAAGAAAACAAGACCCAATTATTTGTAGTCTCCAAGAAACCCTCTTTAAATATATCAGTACATATCTATTAAAAGTAAACAGGTCAGATATGTCATGTTAATACTAATCAAAAGAAGTTTCAGACAGAAACAACTTAACAGCAAGAAAAGTTTTCAGGGATAAGGGAGAGCATTACATACCTGGGTGCCAGTGGCTCACACCTGACATCCTAGCTACTTAGCTGAGATCAGGAGGATTGCAGTTCTAGGCCAGCCTGGGCAAATAGTTTGTGAGATCTCATCTCCAAAATAGCCAGAGCAGAATGGACTGGAGGTGTTGGCAGAAGTGGTAGACCTCCTGCTTTGCAGGCACCAAAGTCCTGAGTTCAAAACCCCAGTTCCATCAAAAAAAAAAAAAATAGGGGCATTAGTAGAGGAGTCATTTTTCAAAGAAGACAAAATAAACCTTAATGTGTATGCTCTTTAAAACAGAGTATCAAGATATATGAAGCAAAACTGGTAACTTGGTGTGGTGGCATGTGCCTTAGCTCTTCAGAGGCTGAGCAACGAGGATCACT